ATTCAAATCATTCTTCTCCACATCCCTCCAAGTCAGACAAGAATATTAGCATGCTCTTACATTCCTTTTCAGGCTTGTGTGTCGACTCTATCGAGCACTTATTTTTGTCTTTTAGTTAGTTTTTCAATTAAGTTTACTAAAGTTTTTTATTTTGTAATGACTTAGATTTACAGAAAGTTACATTAACAGTAAACAGTTTTCCTCACAGAGTTTTAGTTTTTCCTAACATTATTATTTTTTAAATATTTATTTTTTAGATGTAGTTGGACACAATATTTTTATTTTAGTGGTGCTGAGGCTCAAACCCAGGGCTTTGCACGTGCTAGGTGAGCATTCTACCACTGAGCCACAATCCCAGCCCCCTAACATTCTTATCTTACATTGTTGCAGTGTATTTTGTCAAAATTAAAGAACCATTGTTTTCATATTACTATCAACTGAGTTCCAGACTTTGTTTGGATTTCACCAATTTTCCCTTGAATATATATATATATTTTTCTGTTCCAGATCTAGTCAAGAGTACCACATTGCATTCAATTGTTATGTCTCCTCTTGCCTATGGTTTCTAAGTCTTCCTTGTTTTTGATGACCTTGACAGTTTTGAGAACTAATGGTCAGGTATTTGTTCATCCCTGGGTTAATATCTGCTGGGTTCCTGACTGACATTTTCTTGTTTTTTTTTTTTTTTTTCCTGGTATCAGGGATTGAACTCAGGGGCACTTTACCACCGAGCTACATCCCCAGCCCTWTTTTGTATTTTATTTAGAGACAGGGTCTCACTGAGTTGCTTATCATCTTGCTTTTGCTGAGGCTGGCTTTGAACTCATGATCCTCCTTCCTCAGCCTTCCAAGATGCTGGGATTACACCTATGTGCCACCATGACTGGTGCATTTTCTGATCGGGTTCATTTTTTKATCTTACTTACATGTGAAATATAAAAAAGTTTAACTTAGAAATTGAAAGTAGAATGGTGGTTACCCGAGGTTGGGGAGAGTTGGGAGAAAGAAGGGATGGGAAAAGGTTGATTAGTTAGTACTAAGTTATAAAAAAAAAAAAAAAAGAATAAGAAGCTCTGATGTGCTATTGCACAGCAGGGTGACAATAAATTACAAAAATGTACTGCATATTTCAAAAATCTAGAAGAAAGAATTTTAAATGTTTTCACCATAAAGAAACAATAGATGGGGTCTGGGGTTGTGGCTTAGCGGTAGAGTGCTTGCCTAGCACATGTGAGGTACTGGATTTGATCCTCAGCAACATATAAAAAATAAATAAATAAAATAAAGGTGTTGTTTCCAACTTTAAAAAAAAGAATCAATAGATGTTTAAATACATGTGTTTATCCTGATTTGAACATAACACCATGTATACCTCTATGGAAATATTATGATACCCATAAATATGTGTAATTTTTTTTTGGTGCTAGAGATTGAACCTGGGGCCTTGTGCATGCAAGATATAGTTGGACACAATATTTTTATTTTTATCTACCAACTGAGCTATATCCCTAGCCTCGGTATGTGTAATTTTATGCATCAGTTAAAAATAAATTTTAAAAARAGTTAATTTTCTCTTTTTATATTATATAATTTGTGAGTGAGTTACCTAGCTCCACTTTCTGGAAGAGGGGTATTTACTACTCTGAAATTCTGTAAGGAAGATTCATCTCTTTTTCCCTATTAACCTAATATAACTTATCCATTCATTTATTATTATTATTTATTTACTCATTTATCTCAGGATGGACTTACAGATATTTATTTTATGCTTTAGGTTATAATTCAGGTCTAGATTATTTTGTTATTTTGTTGCTCAAGTTATTCCATAGGAGGATTTTTAGTTGGATTCTGGGACTCTCTGACACATCTCCATCCTCTATCATTTAAGACTATTATTTATTGGTGCTAGAAAATGCTCCAAGCTCCTCTTGTATTTTCCTTTTCTAGTCCTACAATCAATTATTTTTCCAAGGAGCCTTGGTTCCTTTTATTGGAGAATGATATTAAAAAACAAGATTTGGGAACTKGTTATGTTTGTTACTATTGGGGTGTCACTGGTTTAGATCCTCTCAGTTCAGAGAGCTAGGTAAAACACACCTATATGCCATTTATACACCCTTTGATTTTTTAATCCCAAATTGCTATTTGCTTTTTCAAAAGCAAAATATGTGTTTCAGCACAACTATTTAGACTTAATCGAAAGTTTTGTTTTTTGGTTGTTGTTTGTTGATCACTATTTTATTGTCTAGTCTTCCTCTCTCATTTTTCATTCTGTTAAACTACATAAAAAGGGATCTGTGAGAAATAAATTTTGAGTCTTCAGTGTCCAAAATGTCTATTTTACCTTCAAATAGTAGGTCAAATATGGACTCTAGAATCAAAGATTATTTTTCAGAATTTTCATGGTGTTGCTTATTTTTTTTTAGCACCAATATTATCAAAAAGAAGGTTAATGTCAATCTGATTCTTACTTCTTTGTGGACAAGTTGGGTTATGCTATTTTTAGTGTTTCTGGAAGGTACCAGGATTTTCCATTGATTGCTCTCAAATGCCAGGAATATTTATTTTTCCTTATCTCTGCCAAGGTTTCTTCCCTATCCTCCCTGCCCCATTCTCTTTTGTTTTCTTTCTGGAACTTCTATTAAACAATTTTAGAGCTTCTGAACTGATTCTCCATGTCTCAGTTTTTCTCTCTCATTATTTCTTGGTCATATGTGCCATTTCATCTGTGACGATTCCACTCTTCAGCTCATTTACTGATTTCTATTTTTTCATAATTTCCAAGTTCTGGTCCTTTTTTACTAAGAAATCATAAGATTTTAAGATTTTAATGTTTTCTCTAATGATCATAAAGATAATATGTATTTTAAAGTTATTTTATACCTACATTCATATTCTCATGTGTTGATTTTTCTGTTTATTAAAATTTAATAGTACTGTTTTTCCTTAAACATTTGATTAGTCTTGGTTAATTGCTACTTATTTTTGTTTCAAAAATCCATGGCTTTCAGTCATGATTATGGGGGACTATCTCCAGTAATAGTAGAATAGGGGCATAACAGGGTCACAGGAAGAATGTGCTCACAGTGGCTCATCTTTGGAGTCTAGTGGGGTTTCCTATCCACCCTGACCTGCCTCTCCAGCTCCAGGGACCACAGGCACTTCTGTAGCCTAATGGTTGATCCTTATGATGCTCAGCATGGGTTCCCTCTACTCTCTATCTGCTATGAGCTCAGAGAATGCAAAGCAGATTCATCTTTACTCACTGCTCTCCTGAACATGTTCTAGACTGTTCTCTCCTCTAGCAATCCTATGCCAAATGTTATAATCTGATAGAGGTTTCTCAAAATTTGTTTACTGATGGCTTTTCTCATTTTCCAATATTAATGCACCTATTTCTTCTTAATAACTCATTTTAAAAGGATTTGGGGTATTATATAAGGTAGATGTCAGTGCTGTTTGTCCTTCTAATTTAGTGTCAATATTCCTAAGTAATACTGGCCTACAGATAAAGTGGAGGGAAGTGTGTGTGTGTGTGTGTGTGTGTGTGTGTATGTGTGCATGCTCTACTATGTACTGATATCAAGTTGAAATATTTTAAGTAGATTATAATGTGTTAGTATTACCTATTTGAAAGTATGGAAAAACTCATCAATAAAACATTTATGTATATACAAAGTAACTTTTTGATAACTGCTCTAATTTTTAAAAGGCTTTTAAGTTTCTTCACTTCTTATTTATAAAATTCTAACAAGAACTTCTCTTGTTTAATATTTTATAGATTCTCAAATCTTTCCTTCTATTTAGAATTTTTCAGGTTACTATATAAACTTAATCTGTCATGTATTCATATTCTAATTTTCAATGTAGTTTTTTTACCCGATATTTTCCCACTATACACACACACACACACACACACACATATGTACACACACATATATATGTATATATATATATATTTTTTAAATATCTTTTTGTTGATAGACCTTTATTTATTTATTTATATGCAGTGCTGAGAATTGAACCCAGTGCCTCACACATGCCAGGCAAGTATGCTACCACTAAGCCATAGCCCCATCCCCTGCCCACTTTATATTTAAAAAAACTATTTTTTGCACATAAACAATAAGCTCCTATATTTGTCAACCTATTTTTACTTCATTCATTTCTACCTTTATCTTTCTTTCCTCCTGCTTTCCTTGGAGTTTTCAATTGATGATTTAGTTCATTTGTTTTTACTTTTTCTTAACTCTRACGTTAAAAGATTATACTATATGAAATTTGGTATCATAGACTGGATCCTAGAGCAGAAAAAGGAGACCAGTAGGAAAAATGGTAAAATTCTAATAAAATCTGTAGTATAGTTAGCAGTAACTCACCAGTAGTAATTTCTTAATTCTGACAAATGTACTATGGTTATTTAAAAATTAAGGGAAGCTGGACTTACAGGAACTCTTGACTTTCTTTGTAAACTTCAATTATTCCAAAATAATGTTTATTTAAAAAATTAAAATGACATATGTAAGTACAGTTTGGTAACAACCATAAGTTTTGATATATGATTGTCTAAGTAATTTCCTTAGTATAATTTTTCTTCTTAGTTGATTTGGCAGAGGAGTTTTAATTTCTAGTTAGTGGAGGTTTTTGTTTTTCCCAGTGCAGGGCCTCTTGCGTGCTAGGTAGGCATTCTACCACAGAGCTATATGCCCACCCCTGGTCAGTAGAGTTTTGAAAAATTAAACTTTTAGTATTAGTAAAAATAAGTTGGCAAAAACATATAATTTCAAATTCCAGAATATGAAGTTTTTCTTTGTAATCTAACTTTTCCCAACCCCTTCTCCCTTTCCAGCCGACAATTTTGAAGCAATAAGGCATTTTACTGGGGATTGGAAGTGTGAAAGAGACATGGGAATGTGTTTATAATAATTGAAACTCTGTTTCCTATTTGTACAACAAACTTAAAAAACAGCCTTTCCTAACTGGCAATGTAAAAGTCTTACCAGTTGCTGCTCCACAGGTGGTGGTGCATCCTGGTTGGCATAAACGATGGCAGGATTGTAAAGACTGAACACCACAGGGTAAAACACTTTTTTACCTATAAATTAAAATATATGTTTATGTCATACAAGAAAGTTATAAGATGAAGAATTGATCTTTATTACTCTCTATATATTGAGATTTTATTAAAGTCCTTTGTAATCACATATGATTTTATTTTAGCAATATTTATTTTATCAATATTCAATCTATAGAACGTTATGTCAATTTGATGAACATGATGATGATTTTGTGACATATTGGTAGGTCAGGCTATGAAAACACAACTGCAAAAGAACAGAGATTAAAACAGACTAAAGGATGCTTCATATGTTTATTCCCTTGAACTTTGGGGAGATACACAAATGTATTCTCTGAGCTATTAATTAGGTGACCCACCTATTACTCATTATTTCATCTAATTAGCAGCACTAGATGTAGATTAATAACTGACAATACCAAAAACTTAGAAACTTCAGTTAAATCTACCCTTCAAACAGAATAATCAAAAACAGTAAATAGGGCTGGGGTTGTAGCTCAGTGGTAAAGTGCTCGCCTAGCACATGTGAGGCCCAGGGTTCAATCCTCAGCACCACATAAAAATGAATAAATAAAATAAAAGCATTGTATCCAACTACAACTAAAAAAAATAAATATTAAAAAATTGAAAATACAGAGAATACTGTACAATGCATAGATATGTAGGAAATAATTAAAACAGAACTGCAGACAGATTTAAACCAAGATCTGGAAAAGCTGGGTTAGATAAGGATTAAAAATATCTGATGTTATAGCCCTTACAGAAGACCTTGGCATTAGCTTTCAAACTGATAGCATCTTAAGGACCTTAAAGGATAACTGGTCCATTTGCCTTCAAAAGAGAGACCCTGATATGACTGAATTCAATCATGGTAGCATGAAGTGCTCAAAAACCGTCAAGCAGCTTAGAAGTGACAGCAGCCTTTTTACTATAAGAAATGCATAACTGATGAACATGACACCTTCATTCACACTCACTTAAGGGATAGGGATGCTCAACTTCTCAGAGGATGGTCTATTTCTGGATATAAAAATATTTTTTTTTACACTGAGCAAATATGTCTTCTTCAACTTCCATGTTTTGAATTTCATGCTGTCTTAAGTAAAAAAACATACCTAACCCACATTTACTCATGGGTTCTGAGAGAGCTCCTGACAACTTTCCCCAATCAAACTCATTAATAAGAAATTAGTCATTTTTGTATAGGAATAGTTCCACATAAAAACACTTAATATGAAATTCTTTTATTTAAAATGATTTAATTGAAAAAATATATATATTTATGGTACATAACATAATGTTTTGATGTATGTATATTCTTTGAATTGACTAAACCAAGCCAATTAACTATTACCTCGTACACTTTTTATTATGGTAAGAACATTTAAAATCTATTCTCTTAGCAATTTTCAAGTATATAACACATTGTCACTAACTGTAATCACCATGTTATATAATATATATTTACTGAACTTATTTTTCTGTTGAGACTCTTTAATACAGAAAACTTTTGATTTTAAATTTAAAATAAAATTTGATTTATAAAACTGTCATTTGCTCATTTATTTTCAAAATATCTACAGCATAAAGCAAAGTATAGGAAACAAYCCCAAAATGCATAGTCTGGAGACCAAATACTACCTATATCCAGACCTCTGCATGAGTGTGCACATGTGTAGATGTGTGCACATGCACGTGTATGGGGGTGGACTATCTGCCTGAAACTGGATATTTCTCACTCTCATATCTCCACACCATTTGTATGGTTCTTTTTCTGACCTGAGTTGCTTCCTCCTCATCAATTTCCAGTCTTCTATTCCTGGCCTTCTTTATTTGGCTTCAAATGTAGCCAATAGAATTTGGTTCCAAGAGAACAAAAGATATGAATTTCAGAGGGTCAATTTTTCCAGTTAAATTATGTATTTCAGTTAAATTATACCTAACAAGAAAAAAAACATCCTAGCGTTTAATTAAAATTTTCTTTTCTCAAATTAACTTGATTCAAAACATGGGACATGCCAATGCTGTTCTAAATTCTAAATTCAGCTCATCTACCAACGTTTTACGCACCTGGCTCAGCATTTAATCGGCAGCTGTTAAGGAATTCGGCTGAGAAAAATATGTCAACATCACAGAAAAACATCAAGACCTCTCCCTTGTCCCAAGCTCTGGCACCCACATTGAGTCCTCGTCCACGATTAAATTCTTCATTCAATGAAACCAAGGTGTAATTGTGAAAATTAGACTCACTATGAGGAAAGCACATACAACAAATGCTAAGTCCCACTTAAAGTTAACAATGCTTTTTCTTCAACAGAACTCACAAAATGTCTTATACTTCAAATATTTTATTATGTTGGTTCTATATTCACACAATATAGAATATGTTCTATATTTACACAAGGGAAAGGAAATCATCAGCTTCCCATCATCAGGGACAGATATTCACTAATTTCCCACATATGAGGAAATATGCTGGTGGTATGGTATGAAGATTTCCAGTTACCAAGTGGCCACAGACCCTTAAAATCTTAAAAACCTACTGGGGAGATAAGAAATACACACATGGAAAAATAGCCATAATATTTGATGATGATGATGATGATGATGATGATAATAATAATAGTAATAATAATAATAATAATTTCTGGGCATAGATGATACACACAAAGAGAGCTTTTCTGATATCTTTTAGGTTTCTGCACAAACGCCTCCTTATCAGGGGGGATATTTCCAGATACCATTTCAGAAGTATTCCAATCTCCCACTCTTTAATTTCCATCCTCTTCCCTGGCTATTTTCCTTAGTATCACCAGACATGTTTGTGTGAGTGTCTTCCTGACTCCATGAGAGTAGGGATTTTGTTTTGTTCATTACCATGCACACAGTGCTCCTCACAGAGTAGGAGTTCAATATGTATTTGCTGAAATGAATGAATGAATAAATGAATAGCAGGTCTGGGAAGAGATTGCTTATATATGGAGTAGTTAGAGAAGATATTAGAAGCAGAACTTGAGTTATGCCTGGGTTAAAATCCTGAAGTCAGTGGTAAGGGTACAGGTCATTCCAAATAATTGTTCTCAAAAGTGAAAGAGGTAAGAAAGAAAGCATTTAGAGGTCAGAACAAATCAGATGGGAACAAAGGGACCCTAACATGGGAACAATGAGAGGAGGCTCAGATTGAGGTACACCTATCATGCAAAGTTAAAGAACTTGGTCAGTATCCTAAAGACAAGGGGGGAGTCAGCAAGGTTTTCTGCTAGGACAGTGGTTCTCACCCCGAGTCCCTCACACCCACAGCACCAGCACTCCCTAGCACCATATTAGATGCAAATTTTCAGGTTCCACCTCAGACACTGACTCAGAGGCCAAGGGTGGAACCAAGTCTCTGTGTTTCAGTAAGCCCTCCAGGTGCCTCTGACACTAAAGCTAGAGAACCACTGCACTAGGGATACAGTTGAATCAAAAACAGGAACATGTGAGGAAGATTACTCCTACAACAGTATAGCTTAGATAATGGAGAGATGGAAGTAAAAGCTCAAATAATGCATGGATTGGACTCTAAGTGTTCTGGGTGTCCATATTCTTCTCCTTATCTTACGTCTTATAAATCTTTCCCTTCTTTTGTGGAAACTGTCCATTGCCACCCCACATGCCCAGTACCAAGTAAAACACTGATCACAGAATACCCTTCACTCTACCCGGCCCAACCACATAATGTCCTAGGAGTGGGGACCAGGCTTAAGTGGGGTCAATCACAAAACCCCCACCCCACCTGGCCAATGTGATTGGCTCAAGAGTGGGCAAAATGTCCTTTCCTGGGATTTCCTCAACGGGAGCTGGGAGAAAGCTCTTTCCTCTCTGATGGCAAAGCTGAGAAGATGTGAGCCCAGAGCCGCCAACAGCCATATCCCTCACCATGTGGAAGAAGCCAATCTGCAACAGGAGAATGAAGTCAACATGCAGAGAAAACAGACAAGATAATGACAAGAGAATTTTGATGGTATTTAATTCTCTGGTTCCAGTCACTGAGACCCAAAGTTGTTTTTATTTTTCTTTTCCAAATTTGGTTACAACAATCCTTTCATTTCTGGGAGGTGTTCAAGTTTCTTTAATACTGTTCCTATTTTTCTTAAGCAAGCTCAAGGTAAGTTTCTACCATATGCCACAGAAGTGTCTTTACAACATAGAGACAACTTCAGTAATATCAGGGTGAATGCTTGATACTTAGTAGGCAATTGAAAAACAATAAGAAGGGAAGGGAGGGAAGAAATGGAGGGGGAATTGGGGTAGATAGTGGCAGTAGCAAGGAAGGAAGAAAGAAGAGGTCCTTTGACATAAGTACGAAGTAACTCATCAAAGGCAATTACAGGTAAAGATGAGTAAAAGACTCTGTATCTCAAACATTAGGTCTATGGCCATGTGAAAATGGTCTGATTCTGAGCTGAAAGAGGGGCACACTGAACTGGTATAGAGAAGGGGAAGACAATGAACCCTGTTTATATATATCAAAGCTATGAGAGTCCCTGCAGGGTATAGATGTACTCAGCTATGCTCAGTCTTCTTCCAACTACCTCAGTCAGACTCCAAAGTAGTGTACCCCAGAATATAATAAGTAGGATTCAATCAATGTTAGTTGAATGGTTGGAGAAGAAAGGCTGGCCAAATCTGAACACTTAGGGAGTGACCAAAAACTAGCAGAAAGGTAAAGAAACAAGGTGTACAGAACTGGTATGATTAGAGACGACTCAACCAGTATATGTTATGACATATTACATTCACAAAATATTTGTTTTACAAACATAAGCATGGTTCAAGAAGAAAGCCCTGGTTAGACTGTCAAATGTATAAAAGTGATTGACGAGGATAACAGAGAAAAGCTGCATTTGGTAGAGAGCTGTACCTTTGGACCTACAACTTAAGAGAGAAAAAGGCTGAGAAGCTAAAGAGTAAAAAATTAAGTTTTAAAGATTATTAATTAATTCATTCAAACCTGAGCACCCACCATGTGCCAGGTACTATATGGGCTTCTCAGTTACAGATCTACTGTTCGGTGAGTAGATATTGCATACTGTAGAATCAGTTCTTCTTCTTCTTCTTTTTTTTTTATTTGTTAAAGATATGGGGGACCTAAATATCATTTACAGGGGGAGAAGAAGGAACAAAAGAAAAGTGACATGCTCAGAAGATGGTATCAAAGTGCAGGGATTAGATTTAAAAAAAGGGAAAGCAGCAGCAAACATATAGGTAAGTGGGCCATAAAGGGAGAGCATCCTGATTTTGCCAGGCTGCCTGCTAAACAATTAAAGGAAGATGAGTTGTGTAGGGTTGCTTGTGAAATGAGGAACATATATCATCACCATTTACCACCCACATGCTCAGTCAACTTCCTAGTTGTAGTTATTCAAAATTCTTCTTAATAGTAACTATTCAAAATTATTAACTCTTTAAATGTCTGAAATTATTATTTTTCTCAKAAAGTTATATGACAAGGATTTTACTGTGGACATGGTTCACCAACCTTGCAACAGATTCTAGGATAGACTTGACTTTAGAGAGACCTTCTTTACCAAAATACACCACTGTGAGATGAATCCTCTTGTCCTGATGAATACAAACATCCCTAACAGAATTGAAAAATAAAGTTTGTTCAAGAACATATATAAGGCACTACTCAAAATGCAATCACATAAAGTTTCAACAAGAAAATGAATGAGGCACTACTGATAAAGAATGAAATCAGGGCTGGGGATGTGGCTCAAGCGGTAGCGCGCTCGCCTGGCATGC